CACTGTCATGTGACCAAAAGACCTAAAACTGATTTCTAATAATAGTACTAAGGTCGATCAATAAGACAAACATTATTGATCAGTTTTTATTGATCCCCTAAAGTTCTTTGTGCTCCTTACTTTTTTAACTCAGGAGAACAGAGTTAGAGTCGATCCCTGAGAGTCCACCTGAGCGCGCACACACACACACACACACACACACCACTGTATGAATCTGTGTGTGTGTGTTTGAACGACAGGAACCAGGTTCTACATCTAGTTCCTGAGGAATGGTGGGAGGAGTCAGACCAGATGATTGACAGCTTCCTGAACAAATAAACAGGTTTTCACTGAGTTATAAATGTGAAATGGAGCAGGACAGAATTATAACTTAGCCTTATACAGGAGCAGAGCAGCACTGAGATCAGAGGGATCAGTTTGTCCACAGGGGGGCGCCCCACTTATTGGAGAGTTGAGACTTCAGGTCTGGGTGTCGTTCACTGCTAAGTCATCCATGATTCATTTACTCTTAAATATCAACATCAGAACAGAGTCCAGGAGGGCTCAGGTTCAAACAGGACCAACACTGCTCTGCAAACAGACCTGAGACCAGCTGACCTTTGACCCCCCAACAGGTCAGTCAGAGGACATGCAGCACCAAACTCCATTCAAAAATCTGTCACTTTAGATTAACTGTGGCCAAACTTTCGTTTTAAAGCTTCATGTTTCTATTTCAGATCATCTCTTCATGAAGGAGGTCAGAGATTTAATGCAGCTCAGATTTGAGCACAGACGGGTTAAATTTAAACCTGGCCCCGGGTCCAACAGAGAGTCTCCCAGAATAAAACACTGAGGACAGAGAGTCTGACTCAGTCCATGACAGGGCTGAGACCAGACCCTCCAAACCACACAGGGGTATCATAATAATGATGATAATAATTATAATAGTTGATATGAGAGCATGCCCACACAGAGGGGAGATCAGGGTTTGACTCTCCTGAAGTATCAGACAGGTGTTTTCCTCTATAACTCAAAGTAACGTCTCTATAAAGAGTGGACCATCGACCTTCATTCCTGTCTACTGTTAGATTTGCAGCCAAGATCACCTCAGAGGAACACAGCTGACATGATGAAGCACTTGTGGTGTCAGGAATTTAGTTCTACCAAGTTAAGGTTGTCTCCAGTCCAAATGTGAAGATGTTTTTTTGGCCCTAAAACTCACTTATGTTTGTTCTAAACACTGAGAGCGAGAGGGCACATCGAAAATAAGTACAGAAAACACAAGCCCCGCCTCTGACAGCAAAAACAGCCAATGGTAGTTTAGGTTTTGGGGGTTGAACCGGGGGTGGCCCAGATTTTAGAGGAGCCCCTGCCACCCCAAACTGCCCCTGTAGCCGTGCCCCTGCGTCCACTAAAGTCAGTAGTTTGATAAAATTAACTGAGCAGGAGTAAAAACCTGACAGCACTTGAACATTTATGGTTTTAACGTTAAAAATCGACGTTTGTCTCCCGGGAGATTTCACACGTTTCTGATCGGATCTGTGCGCGTGAGTAACGGTCACCGCACGCAGCGGGCCGCCGCGCTCCAGCTGCCCCGGTAATGGCGCCCGTCCTCCGGCAGGAGTCACCACGTAGCTTCCGCTGGCACGCAACGAGCTGCTCGAGACACAAGCTAACACGAACCGTAGAGGTTAATGTGTAAAGAGAGTTAAAAATAGAGAAGAGAGAGTCGAAATAAAACCGAAAAATCTCATTTTAACACGGAGAAAAGGCGCCGTTTGACACGTGCAGCAGCAGATTAACGCATCATTTCACCAAAATGTTAAAATGACCAAATAAACGTCGAAAAATGGCTGTTGGTGTCAAAATAATGGAGTTACGTGGTTAATCATCCGCCTGTTGTGGATTATTTGTCTTAAATTGTCTGTCTTGAACAGTTTTCGGGGCTGAGCGGGCTGGCTGACTCGCTGCTGCCCCAGAAGCCTTCACTGCGAAGCCGCCATGAATGTTCTGGTGACTCGGGGACAAACGACCAGAAAACCCAAGAAATCTGTTTAAAATCACGACCAAATACTCACCTTCCGATTCAGACAGAAACCCGGGTTAATACTGCACACCACTGTGGTCGTTTGGATTATTTTGGGACTTTCCAAGTGGGTTTTTTTCAGCCGTAAACCCCGGGGAGTCAGGTCGAAACGAATCCGACAAAAGGAGCGTCTAGTCCGGTATGAAACTCCGCCCAGCGCCGCAGGGGGAGGAACTCCGGGGGAAAACATGAGGACAAAGGCGGAGGATGAAACCAGAGACAGCGGCTAAAACACCAGCCAAAGCCGCTCACACACAGTTTACTCCTAAAATCACATTTTTAATATAATGTCACATAAGAAGACAGTCATGAATTAAATGAAAAGAAACTGTCCCAGCGTCCTCTTCTGAAAATATGCCCTCCTGACTCAAACCTGGTCTGGGTCCAGATGCTGAACCGGCGGGGAGACAGAGGACCGGGGCCCTGGGACCCGGCGGCCAGCCACCGTCAGAGCTGCGGCGGAGGGACGCGGAGGAGAGCGGCTGACGGCGGCTCCAAGCCCCGGCTGAGAGCACCGAAGACCGCGGAAAGTCCTCAGACTGTCTCCCGGCTCTCAGCTCTCCCTCCACGGCCTGTCGGTGATCATCAGCGGCTCGGAGGCGGCGGTGGAATCCCGCATCCTGCAGGACAGCAGCCCGCATCCACATGGCATCCTGCCCGCTGAGATCACACCGTCTGCCGGGTCTGAACACCCGACTCACCGCTCCCCTCCCACCGAGAACCGCAGCAGCAGCAGGTCACCAGTCAGTCAGTCCGGTCATGTGTTCATCCACCTGCCCCCCTCCACCGGGTACACCCGACAGGTAACCGTGCAGGTGACGGAGGGAGGGGGGGCTCCACCCGGTTAATAAAAACAAGAACCTGAAAACGAACAACAATCCTCCGTTTGATCCACTCTGTCCGAAATATGAAGGTTTACAACAAAAATGTGATTTACACTGTGTGTTCAACTGAGTTTAGTGTGTATTAAAGTGTGTTAGAGTGTGAGTTTGTTAAAGACTGTTGAAGAATGTGTGTGTTTGTGTGTGTTTGTGTGTGTGTGTGTGTGTGGTTATCATGATAGTTTTAATTGGACTGATATAGAGATCATTATAATTCAACAAATTTACTAATGACTAATTCAACTGAAAACAGGATTATCATGTAAACACTCAGTTTGTTTGTTACGGCCTCAGCCTCCCTCTGCTCCCTCTGTCCCTCTGCTTCACTATCACACACCTCTTCTCCTCTCTGCTCCTCTCCCTGCTCTCCTCCTGGTCCCCTGATGTTCTTCCTCAGCTCTATTACACCCTAAGAGGTGGGGGGGTTAAAAAGATCTCAGGTGAGTTTACACCTGAGTGTGGCCCCGCCCACCAACAGGAAACAAAGAGCAGGATGTGAACAGGGTTCGAAGTTTTCTTTAATTCACTTTAATGTACAGACACAGAAAAACAGTTTGATGTTTAAACCGAGTAACTCTGAATTCTGCGGAGGATGCTGATTGGACAAACAGAAACCAGGTGGGTGTGTCCTTATGAGTCCAATAAGTCAAAGAGGAAACAGTCCAGGGACGACTTCCTGTCAGGCTTTTTCACAATAAAATAACTTATTACACTTCAAAAGAACTTTGGTGTGAAATTTTGTGGCGATTTAATATCTGATTTTTTTTTCTACACAGACTTTAATTAAAATCCATCAAACACACAAAGTGAAGAAACGATCACATGATCAGGAGTCTGAAGAGAAACGAACATGAAGAGGACGATCGTTTTAATCTGAGAAACAAAAAAACCTCAAAATGAGATAAAAAAACTCATTCAGATCAGAGATTAAACTCTATAAACTTGATACCCAGTGAGATCTACTTCCTGTCTTCTTTTAAAGATAGGGAGCATTATGAAGATGAGTTAAATTAGCGTTTAATGGTGTTACATGCTAGGCTAGCTACCCCTGCTACATCTCTTGTGCTAAGCTAAGCTAAGCTAAGCTGTCAGACTCTGGTGGATCTCTTATGGGTTCAGGACGTGAGCAGACTCATTTCAATCATCACTTACCCTTTCTCAATGCTACACCAGGCTAACAACAGTACAGGACACTTCCTGTTTCACTCTCATTCACGAAAACACCGTTAACATTTGAAACTAAACGGACTCAAACATTAGCCTGCTAGCATTTTTACCGGCAGTCCGCCATGCTAGCTGAAATGAGTCTGCAGAAATGTTGTGTGAAGAGATGTGACGACGTTTGATCCAAGTTTTACATAATCGTGAAGAAACACATCTACGTTTAAGCTAACCAGCTAGCGTAACAGTTAGCGGTAGTGTCCACTGACAGGGCGTCGCTGTGTTGGTGTCCTCTGAGGTCAGAGGTTAATTAGCATTTCTGTCACTCTGTTTGCTAATATTTAATAGCGTGTGGCTCCAAGTTCAGTCAGTGGTTTGAATTGTCCTGCAAAGAATTATGGGTTATGTAGTTCTGTGAAGGATGCTATGTTACAGAGTTACATTTCAGAGTTCAGTCTAAAATTAAAATAATCTTCGACATTAGCTAACTGTAGTTCTGTGTGTGTAGATTATTTGTATTATTTGTCGTATATAAAGACAGAATATTCTCGCAGACTGGCTAATGGATGCTAACTGTCGGCATACTAGATGGAAACTACTAAACAAACTCTGAAGCTTCTGATTGGCTGTGAGGCTGCCGGACTCTGACGTCATTATTTTTAGCAGGTTCAAACCGGTTTGTGTCGGACCGGCAGCTCTCCTCTGTTTACGGTGTTAGACGTGTTCCTGAACCACGAAGACTGTGACGTATGAAGAAGTCAAGATGAGAGCGACGGCGGCGTTCCTGATGGTAAATAAATATAAGAAGAGAGGATGATGATGATGATGATGGTGATGGAGTTAACCCTTTAAATCAGGAGTTTCAATCTGCAGGATCAAGGGTCACTTCTGGCTCCGCCCCTTCTCTCAAGCTCGCCTTTGTCCGGAACATAACATATGTCTATATTTCAGACTGAGGTCTCAGGATTATAATCTCAAACCTCATAAATGAAGTGAATTCAGGAGCAGGAGGACAAACAGCAGAAGACTGTGATCAATAAAGTTTGTTTTCAAAGTGATTGGATAAGAAACAATAATAATCAAACGGGACAAAAAGGCGGGTTTTCAGAATAATGTACTGCTGACTGGACTTCCTGTAAATATGAGGGCAGACCCGGGTGACCCTGATCCGCTCTGAGACCCTGATCTGGTGTCTGTTTTTAATCTGTGAGAACGTTTGATGACTCCATAATAATAATAACAATAATAATATCTGAGTTTAGTTGTTCAAAGTTAAATATCTTTATAGTCGCTCTTTTATCATCCAGGATGTGTTTCTTTATTGTCGGAGATAAACTTTAAATAGACTTTAAACTCTATTCTTGGTTATTATCCTCATAAATATGTTTGAGTTTATACAGACAGAGTTCATCTGTCTCCCCCGGACTCCAGGGTCCCTCTCAAATCTGTCCTTTTTTTGTAGGATGGTAGGAGAAGGTCCCGCCCTCCCTTCCCTCCTTCTGATTGGCTAGAGGTGCTGGGCTCTGATTGGTTATTCCTCATGGCTGTGAAACGTCATCGTCTGTCGGGTTCAGAGATTCAGAATTGCGATAAAGTTCTGTTCGATGTTCAGAGCCGACGGCCCGCTCGGCTTGAGCGTGTGACGACGTTTCACAGCCAATCAGAGGCGAAGGGGGCGGGACCTTCTCCTACCATCCTACAAAAAATATATATCACGTCCTGGAGCCTCGAACCCTCCTCAAAATTAACAACTTAAGCAGAGCTCTCTGATTGGCTGTTTCTCATATTGAATTGAAATCTAAATATTGAGGAGAGGATGAGAGTGAAGGAGGGTCAGGACTGAGGAGGGTCTGGACTGAGGAGGGTCAGGACTGAGGAGGGTCAGGACTGAGGAGGGTCTGGACTGAGGAGGGTCTGGACTGAGGAGGGTCAGGACTGAGGAGGGTCTGGACTGAGGAGGGTCTGGACTGAGGAGGGTCTGGACTGAGGAGGGTCAGGACTGAGGAGGGTCTGGACTGAGGAGGGTCTGGACTGAGGAGGGTCTGGACTGAGGAGGGTCAGGACTGAGGAGGGTCTGGACTGAGGAGGGTCTGTACAGGAACACGGACAGTTGTGGACTGTATATACACACACACACACACACACACACACACACACACACACACACACACACACAGGTGAGCTCTCAGGTAGGGGGTCCACTGGGTCAGGTGGTCTGGTTTCTGCTGATTGGACGATCTTCCTGATTTTGTGCTTCCTGTTGGTTTTGTGCTTCTCTCTGATTGGCCGCTGGTGTTGTGATGAGCCGCTCAGCCAGCAGGTCCTTTGACCTTTGACCTCTGTGTGTTTTCCCTCTCCTCAGACCCCGCCCTCGGTTGTCATGCTGGGTTTCCATGGTAACGTTGTTCAACAGGATAATAGACAGTCTTCACGGTGAGGACCAGGTCGGTCTGCTCCTATTGGTCCATATCTGGTCACTCACTGACTCCACCCACCTCCACCTGCGTGACCTGAGCAGGTGGGCGGGGTTTTGCTGAGTGCTGGGCTCACACTGGTTTCTGTGGCTGTCAATCACACAGGCTGTGGACGAAGGACATGGGGAAGGCGCCCTTCCTGTCCGGCTGTCCCTCGATGTGTCCGATCTGAAAGGAGACAGTCACATGACCAATCAGATCACAGCAGCTGATCACCTGACCGTCAGACTCAGTGTTTAAAGGAACAACCAAACAGGTGAGAAGGTGAGACCTTCAGAGGGGCGGAGTCTGTCAGAGGATCAGGACTCTGTGAGAGACCGCGTGAGCGAACAGATCAACAGTTTCATGTTTACGGGACATCAGAGAAACCTCTGTACTAAAGGGGGACCAGGACCAGGACCAGAACCAGGACCGGATGGTCCTGATCTTCAGGGCGTTAAAAACAGACTGGACTCTGGAGTTGGAGTCACAGCATAGAAAGGACAACTGGACTTGAGACATTTCGCCTTTGGTGAAACGTCTCAAGACCAGTTGAGATTTTGATCCATCAGACCTCAGGACACTCGCAGTTTCCATGGTTACTAAAAGGTCGTATCCTCCGATCGTAGCTGATCGTAACCATTCAAGTTAACGTGTCGATTTACACCGACTTCTTTCAAAACGGGCGGAGACGAACAAGTGAAAGGTTTTTAGACGTCATTTCACCCCGATGACACCATGGATGAGGAGATGCTGATTCTAGAAGTCTAGAAGTAGATTTCCTCCTCTGGAAGGACACAATCTACTGCTTATATGTCTATGTGTCTGTCTTTATGGAGACAACTCGTTATCGTGAGATTGAACGTGAATCTGCAGGTTCTGGAGAGTTCTCATGATTCCTGCTGTCTGTAATCTGCCACGAAATTCTCCTCACAAACAGATCTGGTTGGACTTGTTGTTCCAGACGTGATATTGGGGGTGAGTCAAAACTTTAAATGATGGCGGCCCTTCCTCTCTGGTGTTTTTGCTCCAGGGTTATGGGGGCGTGGCGTACATGCATCATCTGATCATACTCCGACTACGCTGGTTACAGGGTTGAGAAAATCGGATTTCAATCACATAATCTGAGTGTTTTAATCGAAGTTCTCCGACTCTAAAGTGTTTCCATGACCTTCAGTTGTTCGGTCTTAATCGGAATAAGGCGATAATTCGGTTTTCAGACCTTCATCTGATCCAGAACCACATCCTGACACCATCATGGTTCTGTAGGAGAAGAGTCCTGGACTGATGTGGTTCTGAGGTCCACAGAGACTCACCCACCACTCCTGGTCCTCCTCTCCGGTCACGATGATCACCTCCCCCTCGCTGAAGCTCAGCTCGTCGTCGTTGTCGGCCTGACAGTCATAGATGGTTCTGACCCGGCGAGCTTTACTCCTCACCTGTGGAGAGAGTTCACCTGTGAGTCACATGACCTGTCACTGATGAAGATGATGAAGATGATGATGATGAAGATGATGATGATGATAGGACTCACGGGGGTGATAGTGCGCGGCAGAGGAACAGGCGTCTCCACGGGCAGAGAGTCATCGCCGTCATCGCCGTCATCGTCGGGTGGAGGGGACCGCCCCTCCTGCTGGACACGTGACTCTGCTGCTGACGCCATCTTGGATTCCTGTGTCTCCATAGCAACCGGCCTGTCATTGAGGAGGGGTTTAGGGGGGAGGTCAGTGATGGAGGGTTTTGGTGGGAGGTCTCTGAGGAGGGGCTTTGGAGGGAGGTCAAACAGCGGAGGCTTCTCAGCCAATGGGACTCTGTGGGCGGAGTCAACAGGGGTGAGGAGGGATTTAGGGGAGGCGTCGATGAAGGGGGGAGATTTCTGGGAGTCGGGCTGGGGGGAGGAGGGCTTTAGGAGGAGGTCTGGAGGCTGGCTGGGTCTGTGGTCCACAGACGGGAGGTGGATGGTGTCGATCTTCCTCAGAGCCACTGAGAGGAAAGGTCAAAGGTCAAAGGTCAAAGGTCTGCAGGGTTCAGGCATAGATATAAGACAGTCTAGATGACTCAGGGCCGAGTCTGATGGAGGTCTCACCTTTCTCAGGTAGTCTGGGGAGAACTCGGGGTCCCAGGGTGGATTTGGGGTTACTGGAGGTCAAACTGAAGGAGGTGAGCAGAGGTCAAAGGTCAGCAGGTTCACACCTGTGTTAGTCCTACCTGTACCTGAGAGTCCGAGTACCTCTGCTGGATCCCCTCGAACCTGCTGCTCCTGATCCCAGCTGGGGGGGTCAACTCACTTCCTGTTTAAGGACACGACCATATTTGGTCAGACGCTCATGAACAGAAACAGTGACATCAGCACGTTATCAACCAATCAGTGACGAGGGTGGGATCACCTCTACCTGCCGGTCCCTGAACCGGGCTGGGGGGGTCCGACAAGGCTCGCTTATGTCCCGGAGGAGGGGGGGGCGGTCTCTTCTTCAGGGTGGAGCTCCCCCCACCGCCACCAATCAGGGCCAGGGAGGTAGGCGGGCTGGAGGCGGGGCCTAAGAGGGGAACATCGTTAATTAGAGTTGGCTCCTCCCCCCTGTGGTCAGAGCAGAACGCCTCCCCCTCCTCCTCCTCCTCCTCGTACCTCTGCCCAGGCTCCGGGCCGCAGCTGTGGGGGGTCCTGAGGAGTCCGGGCCGGGGGACGGGGGGGCGTCAGAGGAGGTGCTGTAGACCGGGTTAGCAAACGCTCCGTAGGAGAGACGCTGTTTGTCCCGATGAGGAGGAAGGAAGGAGGCGGGGCGGGAGAGCTTCTCCTGAGAGGAGGCGCTGGAGGACGGACAGAAGCTCTGAGGACGACTGGAGCGCTCCTTCTTCACCGGACTGGGCTGCAGGAGGAGGAGGAGGAGGAGGAGGAGACAGAGAGAGGAGGAGACAGAGAGAGGAGGAGGAGACAAAGTGAGGAGGTGAAGGAGGAGGCAGAGAGAGAAGGAGACAGAGTGAGGAGACAGAGAGAGGAGGAGGAGACAAAGTGAGGAGGTGAAGGAGGAGACAGAGAGAGGAGGAGGAGACAAAGTGAGGAGGTGAAGGAGGAGACAGAGAGAGGAGGAGACAGAGAGAGGAGGAGGAGACAAAGTGAGGAGGTGAAGGAGGAGACAGAGAGAGGAGGAGGAGACAAAGTGAGGAGGTGAAGGAGGAGACAGAGAGAGGAGGAGACAGAGAGAGGAGGTGAAGGAGGAGACAGAGAGAGGAGGAGACAGAGAGAGGAGGAGGAGACAAAGTGAGGAGGTGAAGGAGGAGACAGAGAGAGGAGGAGGAGTGAGGAGACAGAGAGAGGAGGAGACAGAGAGAGGAGGTGAAGGAGGAGACAGAGAGAGAAGGAGACAGAGTGAGGAGACAGAGAGAGGAGGAGACAGAGAGAGGAGGTGAAGGAGGAGACAGAGAGAGAAGGAGGAGTGAGGAGACAGAGAGAGGAGGAGGAGTGAGGAAACAGAGAGAGGAGGTGAAGGAGGAGACAGAGAGAGGAGGAGGAGACAGAGAGAGGAGGAGGAGTGAGGAGACAGAGAGAGGAGGTGAAGGAGGAGACAGATAGAGGAGGAGGAGTGAGGAGGAGACAGAGAGAGGAGGAGGAGACAAAGTGAGGAGGTGAAGGAGGAGACAGAGAGAGGAGGAGGAGCAGCTCCTCGGTCTTTGGTACCTTGTCCTCCAGCTCATCGTCACTCTCATCCAGCTCGTCCAATCGGAGGTTCCAGTCGTAGTCCACGTGGACATGAGGGTTAAACCGTCCAGAGACCGCCTCCACCAGCTGGGACAGGAGGAGGAGGACAGGAGGAGGACAGGAGGAGGACAGGAGGACAGGAGGAGGACAGGAGGAGGACAGGAGGAGGACAGAACCAACGTTAGCAGCATAAAGTACAGCGTCTCAAACGTAGCACGCTAACAGGTGAGCTGACGTGGTCAGAAATGTTGAACTGCTCCTTTAACGGACTCTCAGGAGGATTCGAACCATCAGAGGAGGTGAGATAAGTGTGTTTGAGTGTGTGTCCTCACTGGTGTGTGTTGTGTGTGATTGTGTGGCGGTCAGACACTGGCAGCCATGTCTCCGTCAGTCTGTTTCAGGTCAGCTGTGAGTTCTGAGGAAGTTTACCACCACTAAGGTGTGACTGTGTGAGTGAATGAATGTAAAGAGTTTTGAGCGTCTCTGATAAGAAAATTATTATTATTATTATTATTAATATTATTTTATTATCATTATTATTTTATTATTATTATTGTTTTATTATTATTATTTTATTATTATTATTAATATTATTATATTTTATTATTATTAAAATTATTGTTTTATTATTATTATTTTATTATTATTATTATTTTATTATTATTATTATTATTTTATTATTATTATTATTAATATTATTATATTTTATTATTGTTATTATTATTATTGTTTTATTATTATTATTTTATTATTATTATGAATATTATTATATTTTATTATTGTTATTATTATTATTATTTTATTATTATTATTATAATGTTTTATTATTATTATTGTTTTATTATTAATATTAATATTATTATTTTATTTTTATTATTAGTATTATTATTATTATTATTATTATTATTATTATTATTATTTTATTATCATTATTATTTTATTATTATGTTTTATTATTATTTTTATGTTTTTTTATTGTTATTATTATTATAATAATAATTATTATTATTATTATGTTTTATTATTATTATTATGTTTTATTATTATTATTATTATTATTATGTTCTATATTTATTATTATTATTATTATTATTTTATTATCATTATTATTTTATTATTATTATTACACCTGTCAGCTGGTCTTACCGGGTCTTCACACTGAGCGCTCTTCAGTCTGCGGGCGATGTCCAGAGCTGTCTCTCCGTTCTGATTGGCTGAGAGGACACAGGAGACAGGATTCAGACGGTTTTTTCAGACCTGGACAGCTCTGACCCATCAGAACCGTCTGACCCAGATCATGTTAAACTGACTCTGAAGACTTTAATGTGGATCAGAACCAAACCTCCTTCAGAAAAACACCGATTTAAGGAGGTTTTCCCACTAATTCACCAGACTATCAACAGATAACTGATTAAATGTCATTTTATCTCAGGTGTGTTCTGGTCTCAGGTGTGTTCTGGACTCAGGTGTGTTCTGGACTCAGGTGTGTTCTGGTCTCAGGTGTGTTCTGGACTCAGGTGTGTTCTGGTCTCAGGTGTGTTCTGGTCTCAGGTGTGTTCTCAGGTGTGTTCTGGTCTCAGGTGTGTTCTGGACTCAGGTGTGTTCTGGTCTCAGGTGTGTTCTGGTCTCAGGTGTGTTCTGGTCTCAGGTGTGTTCTGGTCTCAGGTGTGTTCTGGTCTCTTACTGGAGCAGATGTTGGGTTTCCCTCTCAGCAGCAGCTTCACACACTCGGGTTTGTTAAAGAGACAACAGTAATGAAGAGCCGAGTTCCCCAGAGCTGTTTCAGAGTTCAGGTTAGTGCTGCACACACACACACACACGCACGCACACACACACACACACGCACACACACACACACACACACACATGAACACAGAGTCAAATAACACACTGCTGACCCAGTGGTCTCTAAAGGACCTGGTCTCTCACACCCTCAGGGTCGTACCTGTTCTGGACCAGGAAGTCCACCAGGTGTAGCGTGGACCTATCAGCTGTTCTCACACAGTGATGTAACGCCGTCTCTCCGGGTTCCTGAAGGACAGAGGACACGTCTGAAGACCTGAACCCTCAACCACACAAAGACTGGGTAATTTGGGTGGTTTCAGAACCCGACAGGACCCCTATAAGAACCGGACCTCTGGAACCAGGACCCCCCTAAAGGAACCAAGGGGACCAGGTTTCTCCAACACACCTGTCCAGGTTCAGGGAGGGGCTGCAGAAGCTCCACCCCCTCAGCGTACAGC